CTTTTAAGAAGCTTGGGAATAAGAGGCAATTGATATTGATGCTTTCATTTTCTGTGGGAGGATCAGAAAACCTCAGATTTTCAGAATGGTAAATAAACATTGGCTTCAACTTAAAGTCACCAGCTTCATTAGCTTCTAATAAGAGAGTTAGTCTGTCTTTTGAAGCTTTGAAGCCAGGCATTGACTTCTCCTTTCCTGCTATGAAAGTCCTAGATGACATCTTTCAATGTAAGATTGTTTCACCTGCAATTAAAATCTGTTGTTTTGTGTCACCACCTTCATCAATGATCTTAGCTTGATCTTCTGGATAACTTGCTGCAGCTTCTTGATCAGCACTTACTGCTTCACCTTGCACTTATGTTATAGAGACAGCTTCTTTCCTTAAACCTCATGAAGCATCCTGTACTAGAATCAAACTTTCTCCTGCAGCTTCCTTACCTTTCTCAGCCTTCACAGAATTGAAAAGAGTTAGAGCCTTGCTCAGGCTTAAGGGAATGATGTGGCTGGTTGGATCTTCCATCCAGACCACTAAAATTTTCTCCATATCAGCAATAAGGCTGTTTCACTTTCTCATCATTTGTGTATTCAATGGAGTAGCACTTTTCATTTCCTTTAAGAACTTATCCTTTGCATTCATGACTTGGCTGTTTGGTGCAAGAGGCCTAGCTTTCAGCCTGTCTCAGCTTTCAACATGGCTTCCTCACTAAAATCCTTTCTAGCTTTTGATTTAAAGTGAGAGATGTGACACTATTCCTTTGACTTGGATGCTTAGGGGTCTTTGTGAGGTTATTAATTGGCCTAATTTCAATATTGTTGTGTTTCAAGGAATAGAGAGGCCCGAGGAGAGGGTGAGAGATAGGGAAATGGATGGTCAGTAGAACAGTCAGAACACATACAGCACCATCAAGTAAGGTCATTGTCTTATTTGGTCATGGTTGGTGGCACCCCAAAACCGTTACAACAGTAACATCAAAGATCACTGATCACACATCACCATAATAGATATAACGATAATGAAAAAGTTTGAAATCTTGTGAGAATTAAAATATAACACAGAAACAGTAAGTGAGTACACGCTGTTGGAAAAATGCTGCTAACAGACTTGCTCCGTGGGTTGCCACAAACCTTCAATGTATAAAAAACACAATTATCTGTGAAGTACAATAAAGCAACAACGCAGTAAAGTGAGGTATGCGTGTACTCTCCCTTGAGTTTTCTTTCTCTGGACTTTACTTCCTTAGATTGAGAAAGTAACACCAGCCAGAGTCTGCTTCGACTCAGCATTGCTCTTTCCTGAGAAGGCCTGGGGCAGCTTGCTTAGACTAGGCCTGTCTAGTCTTTTAATATCACTCTTAAGCCAGCGAATATGAGCTCAGAGGGGAAGGAAAAGGTGTGTCCTGCCTCGGTTGGCCACTCACACTGGATTAATGTAAGCACAAGGGATTGTTGCCAAAGTGCAACCTGGTTCACAGGAATACACAGACACAAAGCCTCGTGGTAACAAGCACAAACATTTTGCCTGGCCTTGCCTCCTCGGTGTATCTCCTTGCGGGATACCAGGAATATCAGGAGTGGACTATCTGTCCATGTCATTTCTCTTTATTTCACTTTGTCCCAAATAAACACATATTTTCCTATAAGGTCTCCAAACAGCCTCTACTAATCATATACTAAAGTACAAGAAATCATATATTAAGAAAGTGAAACAGTCTATAATCTATCACCTTAAATAATTTCTTGCCCTTAGCAGTGTTGACAGAGCATTGTGAGATAACAGAGCTCAGAGCCTAGGACCAGAAGAAGTGAATTCAAGTTGATAACTTTCTCCTAGAAAATCTAGATGTGAGATTTGCCCATACCTCATAGAATGGTTCAGAGAATCAATAAAATGGGTTTGAAACTGCATTTATACTATAATATTCTATAAGTATTCTTTGAAATAATATTATTATTTTCTGAAGAAGAAAAATAAAGCACTATATATAATATTTTGGTCTGAATACCCTTTTGTTGAGCTAGGAGTTCCAAAAATATAGGGCAAGCATTTTAACATAGTATTTTAACACATACCATTTTAATATAGAATTGCTATTTGTCTAATGAAGTTCCAATGTTTTACATATAAGTCTGTGTCCTGGATACCAGAGAGGTACACATATAGTGGAGTAACAAACAGTACACCAAATATATATTGAGAGGGCCACATATATACCTATATATATTTTTTTTATTATGTATTTAGCAAGAATTTATTAGGTGTTGCATACATATTTTAAATATGGTTGTGAACCCAAGTATATATAAGAAAACAAAATTATTTAGTAAACATTAGCTCTTCCCTTCCCATATTCTGAAGGTATTTCCAAAGTCCTGAAAATGGCGCTGACACTGCCTTGCTCACAAAATTCAGGAATATGATAGTTTGAGGAATCCCCAATAAAGTATAGAAAATACAGAGTATCTGTCCAGTAGGAATTCTGGGAGCAATTGACCTGTAATCTGATGGACAGTAGGAGACAAATGCTCAATATGACTACTCTTTGGAACATGCACTTTTGGTGCATTGTTGTTGATAATATTTTGTTATGACAGCCCCTGCAGCATACACAGCATTTAAGATCATATGATCTTAAACATACGATTCAGCCACTTTACACCCAGGAATTTCTCCTAAGGAAATGACCAGAAAAGTGAGAAGGATAGAAGTATATCACTGAAGCATTATTTGTGAGTGAAAAATTGGAACTAATGTAAGTGTCTTAACAGTACAAGGAATTTACTGAGCAAAATGAAATGATAAAATACTTTCCAATCTTTAAGAACTGTAGTGTGAAAGTATATTCAATGATATGGAAAATTAATAATCATACATTGCTGAATTTTAAAAAGGCTTTTTTTGTGTGTTCAGCTATAACCATTCATAACACCTATTTATGGGAAAAAGAAAAATGAAAAAAATTGCTATTTAGCACATGGTCAAGCTTAAATAATCCTTTCTGTTACTGTTGGATGAGCCAATCCCGATTACTGCATCTAATTTTAATTTACACATATTGATATTTGCTGCCTTAGGCACAGCACAAAATTTAACAAAGCCTTGTTTCTCTAAATTGTGAATTTGGGGTTACTTTTGTCTAAACATATACACACACATACTGATGACGTAAAGAAATCTATCCTTTCTGTGCTCATGGCCTTTAAGTTCAGTTTTTATTTTCAATGATATAAAAAGGAAAAAGGAATGCAACGTCACAAAACAGAAAAAGAAAAATGAACGCTATAACCAAAATCTCACAATTGTTCATGAGGTTTGCACAAAAGTTCCCTTGGCTGCCTGTGGTCGTATTTTAGACAGCCTGGCAATGTCAAAGCCATTTCAACAAATGAGAAGCTCGTGGCATTTGAAGTCATGTCTAAACTCATCATTTAAATTCACAGTTTGCCTTAACTCCCATTTGGTTAAGAGAAAATAATTTGTTATAAGAATAAAAGAAAAATAGGCTTATTGACTGTTTTCGGGACTGCAAAATAAGGGCTATCTCCATTCCTCAGGATAGCTGGTATTTTAATTCTATTATGAGATAAAAATCGCAGAACATCAGAGAGAGTGGTCAAACGGTTTCACCTCCCTTAATTCTCTATTAAACAAGACCTTTGACAGCTGCCTGACTGCCTGAAGCTAGGTTCCTTCAACTGCCCTGGCTCACAGCTGGAGTGGCTCACTGGGACAGGGGAGGAGATGACAAAATGCATGCCCACCATTCAGCCAGGCCTCTGTGAGCACCACCAGGCTCTGCACCGAGGGAGACAGGAGTCAGATCCATGTTCCTTTCCTCAGGGCAGAAACCACAGGTCGTGGAGATATCCAGTCCCAAAACTCTGACCTTATGTGGGCCCCTGGAATCCAAGGTTCTCCCAATTCTTTAACCGAAATGTTACAAGCAAAGGAGAAAGATTTCTAAACAAATAGGATCATTTTGTTGGGAAGTTTGTAGGCATCACATTCACCTCCATAAGCGAGAACATGAAGCCTATTTTAAGTAGGGAAAATAGATCTGAGCATGCCATACTTGGAAATAGCAGTTATTACTTAATAAACTCCTACGTTGCCAGGAGAAGGAAAATTCCATGGCAGTGCTGGAGGTCTCTGACAGTCTAAACTGGTGTTTTCCAGGAACCTCCTGAGGGTCTTCCAAAGCCACTACTTTAAATTATGCTGACTGTTTTTGTAAACCCTAATGGTTCTCAGTTGACAACAAAATATGCTAGAATTCTCTGAAGTTTAGTAGAAACCTATGGTAACTTTTTGTTTTTGAATCACAAAATTCTCTAGGTAAGTTCTAGCTGAATTCCAGAGAAACTTGTGGACATTACAGTTCTATCAGGAGTCCTGGGGAGTCTGGCTAGTCTGGCTTTGCCACTTACCCCAGTATGTTGGGAAACTAGGTAGAAATACCACTGCCGAGACCACCTACTAAAGGGAAAAGGTACACAGAATTTGTTATGGAAGTGACAAATGATCAAAAATTCAAAATAAGAGAGAAGCTGCATATACTATTGAGATGCCATCTTAAAAATACAAGCAGGGTCTGGGTTTCCAGGATGAAGGAGTTACGGCTCATGTAAAGTTTCATGTTACTTTAAAAAATTTAAATGATTAGCATCATTTAAAACATTTTTTAAAAAAACTAAACTAAAAATAAGACTTCTCTCCTGGCCCTCAAAAAATTGTTTAGAGATATGCCGTGCTCTGTGATTTTCCCTTCACCTATAACTTTCTTACTCCTTTGCATTCTCTTGCTGTTGTCTTTCTGTCTCCTGCTAGTATCGGGACTTATCTTTTATTTATTCTCATTGGATGAAAGAAAAACTGGTGCTATTATTTATATACATTTAGGAAAATACATAGGAGGCCAATCTATACAATCTTTTATCTATAGCACTCTTTCAACACAGACAGCAAATTTAAAACTCCAAAACAAAGCCCCTTCATCTCTTACCTGTAAAGATTTCAACTTCTTCTGTAGTTATGTCGGCATAGTTTGCCATTAAAGCTGCTTTGGCTTCTCAAATGGAATTTTTCAGCACTTCATGAATGTCTGTCTCCAAAATTTGAAATATTTTTGCCCCCATCAAGTAATAGCTCACAAAAGCCATCATCAGGATGCATTCAGAGGCTTAAGAAACAAGTAATTCTATTAGAAAATGAAATAACAATGGAATGAGAGGCACAGGAAGCTAAATTGCTTTAATTTAAAATGTCTCCACCCCCAAAACAAACCAAACAGTAAACAACAAAAATAGTCTTCTGCCCATCAAGAAAATAGCAGTCTTGTGATTCAACAAATACATACCAAAAAAAAATCCCAAAATATTCATGACGAAATAAAATTTGAACTTCAATTATATTCTGACATGAAATAGCCTGGAATGTGAAAATGCAGGGGGGAGAATCGGTTTCTGGGGAATGTTGTTAACAGTTAACTTATGAGTAGAGGAGGAATGTGGTCAAGTACCACTGTTTATACTGGCCTTTTAGAAGCAAGTGAGTCCAAGACAGCTCATTCCTGGGGAAATGTTTACGGTAGATATAAAATGTGTATTATTAATCAGTTTGCCCAATCAAGATGAATTTGGAGAGATTATCTATCCTGAAGTCTCTTTTTCCAGTTCTCACTTCCCATTCCTCTCTGTGCTGCTCAGCGTGAGCAAATAAAAACTTTTTACTTGGTAAAAAGGTAACCATTATCTTGATGAGACCTGGCTGGAATATTAAGACAAAGAAGCCAAATAACTGTCTTGATTTTCAAGGCTACAGTAACCAAAACAACATGGTACTGGTACAAAAACAAGCACATAGACCAATGTAACAGAATAGAGAACTCAGAAATAAAACCGTACATCTCCAACCATGTGATCTTTGACAAACCTTACAAAAACACTGGGGAAAGGATACCCTATTTAATAAATGGTGCTGGGAGAACTGGCTAGCCATATGTAGAAAATTGAAACTGAACCCCTTCCTTACACCTTATACAAAAATTTACTCAAGATAGATTAAAGACTTAAATATAAAACCCCAAAATATAAAAACCCTAGAAGAAAATCTAGGTAATACCATTCAGGACATAGGTATGGGCAATGATTTTATTATGAAATCACCAAAAACAATTGCAACAAGAGCAAAAATTGACAAATGGAATCTAATTAAACTAAAGAGCTTCTACACAGCAAAAGAAACTATCCTCAGAGTGAACAATCTACAGAATGGGAAAAAAATTTTTGCAATCCATCTGACAAAGGTCTAGTATCCAGAATCTACAAGGAGCTTAAGCAAATTTACAAGAAATAAACAACCCCATTAAAAAGTGGGCAGAGGACATGAACAGACACTTCTCAAATGAAGACATTTATGTGGCCAACAAACATACATACAAAAAAAGCTCAACATCACATGAGATACCATCTCATGTCAGTCAGAATGGCAGTTATTAAAAAGTAAAGAAACAACAGATTTTGGTGAGGTTGTGGAGAAATAGGAACATTTTTACACTGTTGGTGTGGGTGTAAATTAGTTCCTCCATTGTAGAAGACACTGTGGTAATGCCTCAAAGATTTAGAACTGGGAATACCATTTGACCCAGCAATCCCATCACGGGGTATATACCCAAAGGAATAGAAATAATTCTATTATAAAGATACATGCACTCATATGTTCACTGCAGCTCTGTTCACAATAGCAAAGACATGGAATCAACTCAAATGCCCATCAATGATAGACTGGATAAAGAAAATGTGGTATATATACACCATGGAATACTATGCAGCCATAAAACGGAATGAGAGCATGTCCTTTGCAAAGACATGGATGAAGCTGGAAGCCATTATTCTCAAACTAATGCAGGAACAGAAAACCAAACACCACATGTTCTCTCTCACTTATAAGTGGCAGCTGAACAATGAGAACACATGGACACAGGAGGGGAACAACACACATGGGGCCTCTCAGGGGAGGGTGGGGTGAGGGGAGAGCATCAGGAAAAAAGCTTAGTACCTAGGTGACAGGTTGATAGGTGCAGCAAACCACCATGGCACACATTTACCTATGTAACAAACCTGCATATCCTGCACCTGTACCCTGGACCTTAAAATAAAAATTGTCTTTTTTTCCCAGACAAATTCTATGGAGATATCCTTGATTTTTATATAGCTGTCCCGTTGGATCAAACCTACCTGCCTACCAACCTCTTCCATCAGAAAGGGAATTAGCTCTCAAGAGTACCAGCCGTCAGCACTATGGGAAAATTTTATTGTTGTGTGACTTATGACTAAAAATAATTCTTACACTTTGGAAATGCCAAAATAATCACAATTCAAAACTCTTCCTCAAATAGGTATATATATATATAAGTCAATATGCCAATTAAAGCAAATACTTTAAAATACACCAATATATAGATGGATTACATACATAAATTTCTATATGTGTTTTCTTCAAAGACAAAATAATCTCCCTATACATAGATAATTCAACTTCTTAATAAAAGTGAGCATCCTAATTTTCTTCCAGATTTGTAGAATAATTATATTATTTGCTAGTCTATGCTTAAACTAAAGAATAATATTAGTTTCCGAAAGCAAAGGGACCTAAGTTAAGTATTAATAGAACATGAGATTCATTTTTATTTTTATTGTACTCTATGGCTAAGGAAAATGATTTTAAAAAGTCTAAGATTCACCAAAAGCATATGAAAAAATAAAATGTATCCAGTGATTTGTCAAGAAGCATTTCTTTATATTATTAGGAGTGAAAAAAGCCCCAGAAAAGTCCTCACCCAAGAATAGACCAGAGCTTATTGAGGTAGGCTTTCACCCAGATAGAAGGACATCTTAAAGCAGTCCCACCTCTAACTGGAAATTTTCCTGTATCTTCCTTCTCCTCCATGGTACATTTAGGCAATAGCCTATCAGCATCTGAGTGGTGATGTAGAACCCTTCTAAGTGATCTCATCATGTCAACATCACAGTTCTTTCTGGAACCTTGAGAGTGGCTAGTTCTACAGACAGACCTCTTTTAATAGTTTCAATATATTAATTTCTTATTAGTGCTGTAAAAAATTATCACAACCTTAGTGTCTTGAAACAACACAAATTTATAATTACAGTTCTGGAAGTCATAAATTCAAAATGGTCTCAGTGATCCAAAGTCAAGGTGTCAGAAAGTATGTTCTTTCAGGAGCCTCTGGGAAAAAATGTTTCCCTGCCTTTCATAGTTTATAGAAGCCATCTATATTCCTTGGCCCATGCCTCTTCCTCTATCTACAGAGTTGGCAAAGTTGGTAGGGTAGCATCTTCAAATCTTCAAAAAAGCTGACTCCCCTGCTTCCCCCTTTCACTTATAAAGACCCTTGTGCATATACTGCATCCACCCTGCTAATACAGAGTGACCTCCCCATCTCAAGTCAGCTGATCTTATTTGTCCCTTCCCAAGTGACACAGCACATCCACAGGTTCCTGGGATTAGATATAAACATCTTTGGCTGGGTGCAGTGGCTTACCCCTGTAATCCCAGCACTTTTGGAGGCCAAGGCGGGCAGATCACCTGAGGTCAGGAGTTCAAGTCCAGCCTGGCCAAGGTACTGTCTCTACTAAAAATACAAAAATTAGCCAGGCATGGTGGCACGCACCTGTAATCCCAGCTACTTGGGAGGCTGAGGCAGGAGAATCGCTTGAACTCAGGAGGCGGAGGTTGCAGTGAGCCAAGATCATGCCACTGCACTCCAGCCTGGGTGCTACAGCGAGACTCCATCTCAAAAAAGGAAAAAAGAAAAGCAAAGGAAGGGAAGGGGAGGGGAGGGGTTAAGGGAGGGGAAGGAAGGAGAGGGGAGGGGAGGGGAATCAGTGTAGGGGGTGGGAAGTGTATTATTTTGCCTGCCAATATTTCTCCAGTAGTCAATACCCCATAACTTCATCCCTATGATTTAAAATCTCTGGTTATGTGATCTTAAGCAAACCACTTTCATTTTTCCCTGCTCCCGTTGTCATCTGTAGTGGTGATGGTTTGAATCACAGCTCTGCCACTTACTCGTAACCTTGCAAGTTTTTAATTTCTATAAGCTTTAGTTTCCTTTACAGAGAGAATAAAAAGGATAGTAATAACTAATTCATAGGTTGTGAAGATTAAACAAAACAATATAATTAGAAATCTTGGCTCAAATTAGGGGCTTAATAAATGTAACCGTAAAACATAAATTATTAGTATAGGGTCTGTTATATAGTAGGTGGCCACTAAATTCAAACAAGAACTATTAATGAGAAGTAACTAGTATTAATCATATCAATCATTATTTTTAACACAGGTCTTGCATCTTATTTATCTTGTTATTTCCCACAATAATTTTATAGTGATACATGGTGATCATATATCACTATTTATATTATATATAGGTAGGGAATATATGTCTGCTGTATATGTAAGAATTTATTTGGTTGAAAGTGATATAAACCCATCTTAAATTTTCTTAAACAAAAACAGACAATTTACCAGCCAACACATTTTTCAAATCCAGGCATGGATGACCATTGAAGCAGATGCTGTTGGTACTTGCCCAAAAAACTACCTCTCTGTCTGAGAGCTTTTTTCTGGCTTTGCAGACAGGCCCAGGCACAAAGAAGGGCAGGGCAGAAGTGTCAAAGAGTTAATGCCCCTGAAAGCAGCCATAAATCAAAGACATGGGGAGTTGACGAATAACTTCTCTAGGCTCCTCACCTCTCAGAGGGAATGACTCTGAAACCTGTCCTACACTGTCCCACCAAGTTTCTTTGGTGGGATTGAGCCCCAGTTGCCCACAGTATCAACATGCTTGAAAGTACATTTTTATTGTCTTCCTTTACTTCTCAATCTCCTCTCCCCACTCTCTTGCCAGTATTTCCTGGGTTCACCTCCAAAATACATTGCTGGCACTCAACTTTATCACACTGCCCCAACACTTAGGCAGCACCCACCTCCCAGATATTGCTCTTACATGATGTCAAAACAAGGTCTTAATAAGGCATTCTACCTTAGTCTTAGGGGAGGCAAATAATTGATTTAATTGTGGTGTCCTTCTTGGACATTAGGAATCTTGGAAGAGTCAAGTGAAGAATGCTGGAAAGGTGAGAGTGGAGATTTTTCCCTGGAGCTGGGGCAGGGATAATCTTCCAAGGAACATTTGGAATTCTGCAGCAAGGGCCATCACATACAGCCTGGGGAGGTTGTCCACAACCTGACTCCAGAGCCTGCCATTTACAGACACTCTGGGATGAAGGGTAACCCCTGGAG